GTTGTGGGAAGGACTGTTGTGTGCCAGTCACTGCTGCCTTGGGGAGCAGCGTCGAGCTGGGCCTATGGGATTCTAGATGTGGACTATTTATGGGGGCAAGCCAGAAGAGGGGGCAGTGAGACAAGGGACTGCCAGGTGGGGTGGGGGAGCAGAGTGAGTCGAGTGGGGCTGGGGGCCCCTGTGCGGGGTGGGCAGTGATAGAAGCAGAAGTCAGTTGGAGCAGGGAGAGGGCACTTGGGGAAGAGTGGGCCCCTGACCCGAAGGTGTCAGTTGTGAGGGCCTCCTGGGAGGTGGGCTGGGCGGAGGCCCCATCTCACTGAGCGGCCACTCCGCCTTGTGTCTCCTTGGGAAAGGGCAGCGTCATCTACGACGGCAGCTTTGACCTCTTCAAAGAAATCGGGCACCTGTGTCGCCTCTGCAAGGCCATCGGGGGGAACTCGGAGCTGGTGAAGCCCGGTGGGGCTCAGTGCCTGCCCTCAGGTGTGCCGGGCCGGGCGTCCACACGCACGGGGTCTGACGCGTGTCTTGGAGGTCGGGGCCGCTAGTCAGGTGCTTTTCAGAAGGGAGACTCCTGTTAGAGGCGGAGTGGGCGGCGGGGGGACCTGCGCCTTCCGGCTGCAGGCAGAGCTTTTCCAAAAGGCGGACAGTCCTCCTGCAGGAGCCCTGGCGGTTCAGTCGTGGGCGCCCATCTGGAGGTGGGCAGTTGCAACCCACCAACTCTCTGTGGAAGTTAGACGGGGCTGCCTGTTTCCCTCTGAGGGCCCCGGAGAGCCACTCTGCTCTGCCCTGGAGAGCGGCTGTGAGTCAGCGTGGCCTCCATGGCCAGCGCTCAGCCTCTTCTGAGAAGGCGCAGGATGTCACCTCCACCCCCGGGACCCCCGGGCTCAGCAGGGTGCCCAGTGCCAGTGCCAGACTTAACTCGTTGGTAAATCTGAGAGGTGAGGTCACACACCTCCCCACTCAGAAACAGATGTCACTGGGTGGGGTCAGGGCCTTCCTCAGCTCTAGGGTCTGCCCTCCTGCCCCTCCGCACCACCTGCGCCCTCGCCCCAGGCCACAGCCTCCTCTCTCACCCCTTTCCCCTCTCCCGCAGGCTACAGCATCTCCTCCTTCCTGCAGATGTTGCATCCTGAATGCAAGGAGCTGCCCGAGCCCAACCTGCTCCCCGGGCAGCTGTCCCACGGGGCCGTGGGCGTCAAGGAGGGCCGCGTGCAGTGGATCTCCATGGCCTTCGAGTCGGTGAGCCCAGGCAGCCTGGCTAGGTGGTGGTGGTGGGGGGGGGGGCGTGCTTCGGAGTCCACTCAGGCATTCTCCAGCCCCATGTTAAAGGAGCTGCCCCCTCCTCCCCCTGAGTGGGATGGTGAGGCCCAGAGGGCAGACGTGCGTGACTGCCCACAGTCAAGCTCCCCACAGCTAGTGCGTGCCAGCACCAAGTGCTGGCCTGCTGTCTGACTGGAGCTTCACCCCTCCAGCCGCCCAGACGGCCTTCCAGCTCCTGCTACCCGTCCCGCCCACCCTCGTTTTCCAGGGCCGCCTGGAAGGAAGGCCAGGGCCAGATCTCCCATCAGATCTCGGCCTGTGGCCTCCTTGCTTGTTGGCAGACTTGGTGACTATTGTTTTCTTGGCCGTGGGCCAACCATCTCTCTCCATCACTTGGAGGGATTTGCTTTAGGACTCCCCCTCCCCTCTCTCAGGTGACATGAGGAAACTCCCCAGAGGATTCCCCCCACTGGTCCCAAGGCCAGGGATTCCACACGTGTTTGCAGGAGACACAGTTCAGTCCACAGCACCCCCAGCCACAGGGCTCACGGCATCGTCGCCTCCGGGCTCTATGGGCAGCAGGGCCTGGGGATGGGGAAGCTAGGACATGGCCTGTCACCCTGGGAGCCCGACCTCGGCGTCCCTAGAAAACTCCATGGAAGGCAAGCATCTGGCCACCCTCCACATCCCACTCTGCCACTTCTGGACTCCCCCTGGGTGCTGCCACCCACTGGCCCCAGGCTTTAGCCTCTGTGGAGCCTCTGGTCCTGTTCACTTGCTCCGTGATGTTGGGCAGGGCCACTCACCGGGGCTGGTGGCCATGTGGCCCTCAGGTGCCCTGGGGCAGTGCACTCAGCCCCCTGGCCTCAACTTCCTCGCCCATAGCCAGCCCCAGCTGCCACCATGTTAACTGGCACTTCAGAACTAGATCGCCAGGCCTTTCTGCTGAGGCACCTCTGGGTGGGCTCAAACCTCCAACCTTTGGGTTAGCGACCGCGTGCAGTCACCGTTTGCACCAGCCTGGGACTCCTCTTCAGAACCACTCGACAGAAGCTGGCTTCCTCCTCTTCAAGATGGGGTTCGAGTTCCCGCCTCCCCGTGGTGGTGGTGGCAAGAACAGCAGGATATGGGTAATGAGAAGGTCCCAGGCCGTCTTCCTTGCCACCACCTGTACCATTTATTGCACAAGCCACAAAGCCACTGACCACCAGAGCAGCAGGTCCGAGAGAGTCCTCCTTCATCCCTCAGTGAGCCACTTCCAAAGTGCCCCCCATCTGCGCAACACACACACACACACACACACACACACACACACTGTAGAACCGGATATGCACAAGAAGAGAGAGAAGCTCAGAGCAGAGGCCGTACCTGCTCCTGTGACTCACCAGTCCCTGGACACCCCCTCCAGGGCAGAAATAGCTGGCTTCCTGCCACCATCCCATGTGATGTGCAGGGGGGCCACTAAGAGAGAGCCCAGAGGAGGCCGGGCCATCTTGGGATATCAAAGAGGGCCTCCTGGAGGAACAGGAGCACTGGCCGGGGAGCTGCATGCGCAGAAGGGTTGTGTCCCAGAGACTTGTGGTAACTAAACATGGCTCCCTGGGGAAGTGGCAGGTGTGCCTGGCTGGAGGGGCCGTGCGCCTCCCAATGGGTGGGCCGTGACTGTTCATCACAGCCTATACAGAATGCCCTGTTTGCAGGCGGCTGAGCGCCAGGCTGAGGGGCCCCAGAGCAAATCGGCCATCGTGGATGGGTGGGCGGGGCCCAGGCCCTCCCCCAGCCCCGCTCACCGGCCCCTCTCTCCCCCACAGACCACGTACAAGGGCAAGTCCTCCTTCCAGACCTACTCGGACTACCTGCGCTGGGAGAGCTTCCTGCAGCAGCAGCTGCAGCGCTTCCCCGAGGACTCGGCCCTGCGGCACGGCTTCCAGACCTGCGAGCACTGGAAGCAGATCTTCATGGAGATCATCGGTGAGTGGCCGGCCCCTGCCCCGGTGCCGAACCTCAGCCTCAGCCCGGCCCCCAGCCACAGACAGAGGCTGGAGGGGGCCGTTGCCTGTTCTGGGCTGGGCTGTGGCCGCCGACAGAGGCTCGCTTCCTGGGCCAGGCACTGAGGGCATCACCCAGGCCAGCACTACGAGGCCCGGGGGCGGCACTGCTCTTCCCACTTTGCAGAGGATGGCATGGAAGCCCAGAGAGGCCAGGGGCTTTCCCAGAGCAGCACAGCGTGTTGTGACTGGGCCCACCTGGGCGAGGGGGCAGGGAGCAGCCCAGCTGAGGCCCCTCCTCCCGCCCCAGGCGTGCAGAGCGCCCTGTACGGCCTGCTGCTCTCCCTGCTCATCTGCGTGGCTGCCGTCGCCGTCTTCACCACCCACATCCTGCTGCTGCTGCCCGTGCTCCTGAGCATCTTGGGTAGGTGGGGCAGGCCTCCCAGGTGACCTCGGCTCAGCAAGCTTCCAGAACCCCCTCAGCGCAGCCTCCCCGGCCCCCACCCTGGCCAGAGAGACCCTCTGCTTGCTGGGGCCCCTCCCAGGCGGCCCACGAGCTGCCTGCTCCTCCTTCCCTCAAACCCTGGCCCTCCTGGTCCTTCCTGTCCCCCGAAGTGGGAGCGCTAGCCTTGGCCTTATGCTCCCCAGGGCCCTCCAGGCCTGTGTTGAGGGGAGGGGGTGCCCGAACTGCTGCACCACCTCCCCGCTGCCCTGCAGGCATCGTCTGCCTCGTGGTGACCATCATGTACTGGAGCGGCTGGGAGATGGGGGCCGTGGAAGCCATCTCCCTCTCCATCCTGGTGGGCTCTTCCGTGGACTACTGCGTCCACCTGGTCGAAGGCTATCTGCTGGCTGGCGAGAACCTGCCCCCGCACCAGGCTGAGGTGAGCGTGCTGCCTGCCCTCCCTGCCCCAGCAAGGCTGGCCACCCCAGGAGCCCACTCCCAAACAGAGAGTTCTCACTCATTCAGGTCCACTCAAGTGGGTCTACTCCCCCTCTTCCCGCCCCCGGGTCCTCGAGAGAGCGGATGGCCACAGGGGGTTCTCTGCTCCCCGTCCCCATGTTGGTGCCCACCCTCCAGGCCAACCTGGGGGATGGCTGTCCCTGTCCTGACTGACCTTGGCGCTGGTCTCAGGGCGACCCCACAGGCTCGGCACAGAACCACCCCATGAGGTTTTCAAGCATGCAGCCCACTGGGCCCGCTCATAGGCGCCTGGGTGGGGGGCGTTAAACCACCAACCTTAAGTCTGGGAACCCAGTACTCCACCACCCGAGCCCCCCAGAGGCCTCTCTGGGCACGGGCCGGGCCTCTGCTCCGTGCCCTGACCCATTCGAGGAGGTCCCCACGGGCTGCTGTTTCCCAGCTTGGAGTTGTGTGTAAGTGCATAAAACTTAGATCAGCACGTAACTGCGCTCAGTCCAAGCATCTGACACCGCCCAGGGGGTGGGTGTGTGGTGTGGACCAGTGAGGCCACACCTGCAGCCTCCGCCATCCTGCGTTCACAGCAAGGTGGGACTGGCCCCTTCCGGGCACAGTGGTGTGGACCATATCACCTTCTCGCCGACCCTCAGCTGCAGCTAGCGGAGGCTGGGGCAGGGGCCCCCTCACAGGGGTTTTCCCAGGGTGCACGCACAGTCATCCAGCTCCGTCCTCTCCCACCCGCC